AGGAGGAGGAGGAGGAGGAGGAGGAGGAGGAGGAGGAGGAGGAGGAGCCGGGCAACTGGCCCAACTTTGACCAGAGCAAAGTTGCTGCCCTGGAGGACCCAGGCCCTGCCAAGGTCACAGAGTGGTCCAGAAATAACACGAAAAGCAGGCTGCAGTAAGTGACAGCTCTACCGTTGCACCCTAAAGCCAAGAGCACGCCCCCTTCTCCCCTTGGTCTGCCCTGCCCAAGGGGCTACCCACCTCCCAAGCTGCACTGTGCAACTGTCCTGCAGCAGCCAATAAAGGGGCAGCCACACACCCCACCCCCAACCAGGAAAAAGAGTGCCAAGCCATACAAAGAGATGCTCCCGGCCCAAGAGCAACCCAATGGCTTTCAAGCACACGTGAGAAGCAGCAGCAATGACAGGCAGCCGTCAATGGTTGTTTTTAACAAGGCCTCTGGGAGTCTCAGGTCAAGACACTGGCCAGGATGGGGTACTGAAGATGCTGAACCCAGAGCAGACATGCCCATGTTCAAGTCCGGCCTCAACCTAAGAAGGGATGAGGAATTGGCCTTGGGGGAAAAGAGGAAGGAGCCATCCAGGGAGGCTCTAGTACTCCAAGGGGAGGAAAGGTATGCTAATTGATGGTGTCAGGAAAGGTGCTACCTGTACCGCGGTTTCCTGAGAAAAAAGAACACCAGAAAGAAACTCAAAAGAACCTCACCCAGATTTTTTTGGGATGCAAAATAAGGGCCAGAACCAGGCATGGGGCGCTCTTTATCGAAAAGAGCTAAGTGGAATAGAAGGATTTTGAAATCCTTTCTGCCCAGCCTTGCACTTCTTCCGAGTTTCTCATGCTTCTCTCTTTCTCAGGAGTCCCAGAGTCCCCTTGAAGGATTCCCCCCCCCCGTCCTGTTCCCAAAGTCAGGGCTAGATTCCTCCCTCAGCTCAACCTGGGGAGAACCGGGAGGGAGGGAGCGCAATCTATGCCATCGTGAGATCCTGTACAGATAATATTAAAAAACATAAACAGGGCTCACCTAGGAAGGAGGAGGACGAGGCCTCTCCTTCCGAAGGGCACTTTGCCCAAATCTCTCTCTCATCCTCCTATACAAAGGGCAGGTACCTCTCCTCCCTAATGGCTCTCTCTCTGCCCAACACGCCTCTTTGACCAAGCAGAGACCCAGCGGCCTGTGGCAAGGCTGCCTTCCTTGCAGAGCACATGAAGGGAACCATTTGGTTGCAAAGGCAGGCGAGCGGGCAGCCTGCAGAACAAAGTGTGGGTTCTGCAGCACGAGACTCTTCCGGGAAGGATCCTGGCCTGTTTCTCCACACAGAGGAAAACATTCTGCCGATTTCCCCTCTCTATTGTGACAGGTGGCTTCCTCCTGGCGTTCCCTTCCCAAACGCATGACTAGCCATTTTGGAAGCCCCATTCCCAACACATCTGGGAGTGTGAGGAAGGCTGGCCTGTGGTTACACATCTGGGAACAAAAGAAGCTTGTGGAAGTGCACAAGAACTGCAAAAAAGGCAAACCATTCTGTGCTCACACTACGTGAGTTAGTATTCTTCACACATTCCCAGCTACCGACACCAGAGACACATCCAGATAATCCAGTGAATTCCTCACAATCTTCAAGTCCTAAATGAAATCCTATTCCAGCCTCTGGGAGGGGAGAAGGAAGTTTGTTCTCCCTTTGAAAGAAAAGCAGCATGCCCGCTCTTCCCTTGGCACCATCAAAACTGATTCAAGCTGCCAAGGTTTTAGGGCAAAGGGTGACCTTGTAAAAGGGAAGCAGAGAAAACCCTGATTCCTTGCTTTGTTGGATGCCTCCAGGATAGCACAACATGTGGGCAACTGACTGGGGTTCTCGGGGCAAGAAATGAGGGGGGGCCACTCCTTCCCTTGGGCTCCCTGTCCTCCCCACCTTCCCCTGGACCCTTCCCTTCCTTTGGCTTGCAGCATTTGGAGACACCCAGCTCCATCTGGCTCTTTCCTGGGCAGGTGATGTACCCACACAAAGAGCTACAAAGTAGAATTCCCGGGGGGGGGGGGGGAACGGGACGGACGGACGACTCCACCTGTCTTCATCCCACAAATGTAACCAAAGGCTCTGGGAAAGATGCCGTCTCACAGGCTCACGTGCCATCTGTCATTTGGTCCTTTCCGTTTCTTAGAAGATGCTGGAAGTCCTGCCTGAAATCTGAGGTATTTCTGGATTATCGGAATGTGTCCAGTACCAGTTGCTATTGCTCCTCCATGGTGGGCATTGACCTACTGTATTGACCTCTTCCTCCTCCTCACAGTCTTCGCTGCCCAAGCGACTCCAGGGTGGGACTTTCACCAAGCCAAGAGTCTTCTGCCCTGAGGTTTCCTCAGGCTAATAAATAGGATGGACAATACAGTACTAAATGGGAGAACATGGGAGACACACCAAAGAAAGAAAAATGCCACACCCAACAAATACACAGGAAGAGCAGTGCACAAACATGTCCTTGGCCTGCCCTCCCTTTCTAAAAATGTTTTTTCAAACGCACAGCTCCTCCAGATCTTCCACAGCCCACATTCACCCAACATTCAGAGCTTCCAGAAGTGAGCCACCTGATAGGGAAAAATGTTACAGGGCGCAGGTCAGCTGCGGTTGCGGAAACAGTTTAGGACCAAACCTTTTAGATGGCAGAGAATATCCTTTGTGTCTAAGGGAAAGAGGGGTGGGGAGGAAAGGATTGAGAAGAAGCAAAGAACTAAAAATATAAGAATTCCTTAACTATTAGTTTTAATGTGTGTGTTTTGTAAAATTTAATAGAATTATGATGAAACAAAAAGAACCGAGTTGTATGGACAAGTAAGTTGGGCTGCAGCAAACAAATCCCCAACTTTTCAGCTGCTCTCCCATCGAACCCACCAGTTGCTGCAGGCACCTTGGAGACTCTGCCTCACGCCCTCTCTGCATCTTCTTTGTTTTGCAGGGGTGGGTGGGGGGGTGGGGGCTCCTCTCCACATGCCAGGCAAATAAAACGATCGATATTAACAATGAATCTGCCCCGCAGAAGAGGGCTGATTCCACAACGGCCAAGATAAACGTCATTTTGTGCTTTTGTTTCCCCAGTTCAACAAGCGCAATTCACAGAATGGAGAACTCTCACCGAGTGGCCTCCATAATTACTTTCTTAAGTTTTCAGCTGAAATCCTTGTGGCCAGAGGCCCAGGAGTGAGGCCTGGAAGAGTGCCAAAGACCACCACCACCATCCGCCCCCCACTGCAAAGAGAGAAGAGCCAGGGACTCAGTGCTGGCAGCCCAACTTCTGAGGAAGAAGCTTCTTCAGAACTGGAGACACTTGCTGAAAAAATGGGGAGCTTGACTCATCGGACCACTAGACCACTCTTCCAAATTCCAGCAAAGAAACATTCCAGCGAAGCCCTCCTGGGAGACTTCCCACCAGCACACTGAGTGGGACCATGAAGGCCCTGTTGAAATTATCATCATCATCACCAGAGTGGGGAGGGACCTCGGGGGTCTTCTAGTCCACCCCCCTGCCCAAGCAGGAGACCCGATCATATTTCAGACAAGTGGGTGTCCAGTCCCTTCTTAAAAGCCCGAAGTGATGCAGCACCCACAACTTCTGGAGGGAAGCTGTTCCATTGGTTGATTGTTCTCAGCATCAGAAAATTTCTCCTCAGCAACCTAGAACTACGGAAAAATGTCCTGACAGGGAGAATAAAGCTCCAACACTGAACACAACCAGACTGGGAGTATGGGAGAGCAGGACGATCGATACGGTTGGAAGTGAAAGCCACACCATCCCACTTTTAAGCCCTTGAGACAGGAAGCTACAATGCCTACAGGGAGTCTTCTGGAGGGATTTGAAATTAACCTCAGCTCTAACACTTGGGTGAACCCATCCCCTAGGCACGGCACCCCAAAGTTAGCTGTTCGCTTTTCAAAGGAGGACACAGATCAAAATAAATGCTATGACCTCATGCGCTAGGATGGAAAGTCATTGTTCCATTCCATTCTGCTTTGGTCAGACTTCTCTGGATCCAGGTGTGGCTTCACACATTCAGACAAATCAGAAAAGAAGGCAACAAGAATACCAGGGAACTAAAAACAAAACCTTGTGAGGAGAGATTGGAAGTGTTTACCCCTGAGAAGAGAAAGAGGGAGTTGGAATGGAATGGTATGTTTCAAACATGATGTGAAAGATCGCCACATATCCATTCTCTTTCATTAAGGTGCAGGACATGGAACATGCACACGGAGGCTGCAGATTCCAAGTGGGAGTAAAACACACACAAAAAGCCTTCATAACAATTTGGCAGTCAAAGTGGGGTGGGTGTCCTTCTCTGAGGAACACGCTCAGGGCAACCCTCCTCCGCCTGGGAGGCTTCGATTTGGATTTCTGCGCACAGCAGGGGTGAGACTCAATGGCCTCAAAGCCCCCTTCTAAATGAAGGACTCTTTGAAATTAAAACTCCTTAACAATAATTTTATGGTTAGAAATTAAGGATGAGAAGAGACGTGGCAACTCAGACCAGGATCAACCATTAAAAAATGTAAGGACACGCTTGAGACAGGTTGTCAGAAATCACATTGGTTTCCATCTCCTGGTGTGAAGGTTTTGTTTCTGTTGGGGAGGCGGGTCTTAGCCTTAATTCAGACCTGGGAAAGTCGTTTCCCTTGCGGCATCTTGCAAACTCACCAACTTGACGCCTGAAAGGACCTCCAGCAGGGAGATGAGGTTGTGGCCATCTCGCAGATCCTCGTAGAGGTCATTGATGTGCTTGCGCACCTGTGAGGGCAGAGCAGAGAAACAACGCTGGGCGGCTGCTGAGGACTGCACAGAACAAGAAAGTGGGTAGAGCAAACTTTTTCAACCATGGGAGCCTTTCAGAGGGGCGGATTTCAATTCCAAAAATTCTCCAGCCTTGCAAAGCTGGCTGGGAAATTCTGGGAGGTGAAGTCCACCCCTCTGAAAGCGGCCAAGGTTGAGAAACCCACGTGCAGAGAAATTCTCACTGGAGGAGGGAAATCTGCTAGGCAAGAACTGCAGACCAGCCAACTGATGACTAAGCATGCTGATCGATCTTCTTTTACCCAACCCTGTTTTGATTCAGATATTTTTTTTCCTGCTGTTATAAGAGCTAGGAGCATGCACACTTTAACGAATTAACTCACAGCATTTAATAATCTTTTCCTGGATATGTATGAAAAGCATCCAGCGTGAGAATGCCAACCTTCTTCTGTGTCAGCTTTAAAAATGAAAGGGGGGGAAGTGGGGGGAGAGCAGATCTAGTAGAATCAGAGGCGTATGGGGCTTACCTTCATCAGGTGCTTATTCACCCATTTTGTGAAGGTCTTTTTCTGGACCCGGTCCCGTTCATCTGCAAAAGAAAAAAAAGAGAAAATGCAAACAAGTTAGCTTTTTGGTCACCTGAGAAAATAAACACAGCCATAAAAATAAAATAAACACAGCCTATTGTAGGTGGCAAGCAAAGCCTCTTTTAGGCCTTTAGTTTAGCCCTCCCCCCCCCCCCCCCCCCCCACACACACACGCACACACACACACACACACACTCCAGCCCCCTGCCCCATTCCCAGAGAGCTGCAGGTTTGCAGGTTTCTGAATTAGAGGATCTGGGTCAGTTTTCTCCACAGAGATACTTTAACCTTTTTTGAAAATATGTATTTATTTTGACTAGATGGCTCTGCCTTCTCCGTTTCCCCGTATCAGGCAAGGTCATCTGGCCACTTCCATTTTTCAAAAAGTCACTTGCAGAGTCAGGGGGTGTCGAGTCCCCCTGAAGTGCTTCCCTGGGTGCAGAGGGGAGAATTCAACTTTCCTAGCATTGAGGTCTATGGGATTATAAACGAGTGCAACTTTCAAAAGGGTACAAACCAGATCAGAGAGTTTTCCAGAGAGTTCCTGTCTCAAGGATACAAATTTTATGTTTCTATAATACAAAAGTAGCAAACAAACAAACTGATCCATTAATGTTTCTTTAATCAAGGAGGCGACCTGCATGCCCCCAAACTGCGGTGTATATTTCAAGGTAGGAGATATATAAAAGCTATCAAGTAAACCCCAAGGTTGTTGTTGTTGTTGTTTTTTAAAAAGGGAAGCCCCCCCCCCCAGTAGAAAACAAAAGTTTATTTCTTTTCCTTCTCTTCTCAGGTTTGCTATGCATAAATAATCAAGAGATTTGAGACTTGTAAAGAAAATTTGTTAAGGACGCCTCTTCCCATTTGTCCAGGCAGGTTCCTATTCCTTCATTTAGTGAGCAGGAAACTTGCTGCCTTATTACCCCCCTCCCCCCACCGTCTCTTTCTCCAGGAGGAAGCAGTCACCTGCACTGGACATCTGGCAGCTTTTAGATCATATTCATTGCAGCTGGCAGCTAATCAAGAGATTCCTCCTTTGCCTGGTCTCATAGTTTAGTAAACAATCTCTCAAAACATTTAGCTGCTTTGGTCGTTTTCACTGCTTCCTCCTGGCGAAGTCTCTTGGCAAATTCTGGTCAGCCTCCCCATTTATTCACTCCGCAAGCACCAGAACCACACAGAAGTTAACCGACAGCATCGCACATGAAAGCCTCCCACAGCAGGTTTCCATGAATGTCCTCTGAGAGAGCAGTACCTTCCTAATATATTCCATGAACCATCACGCCTTCAGATTCAATTAGGCAAATATATATGTGTGTGTCTTTATACTGCCAATCTTTGCTACTCATAGAGCCAGCATTAATGAAACAAGAGAAACAAGAGATAATAGAAATCTCACCCAAAGCCCACGTTCAAAGCTCAGCTTGCTCACTCTCCACCAGAGAATGTTTGGAAAGTTCTGGACTAGTATAATGGAAGCCCATCACTATAGTGTAGTGATAGGAAGACAATTGGCATAAGAAATAAGCGACATGGAAACAAGACGTAAAAATCATATTGGTCCATGACAACCTGCTTGCTAGAAGTGAAGAGGGAGCTTGCAATGAAGTACCAATCAATTCCTTATTATGGACATCCCTACACAAACCTTTTATTCCTCTGTCATCATTTAGACTGCAGACTCTCCTAAGCTTCATGGTCACTAAGGCCCTATTCCAAGAAAGGGCAGACATCTGGCTTGAAGCATCTATTCTGCTTCTGAGCAGAATCCTTGAGATTCAGCACGACTTGACGTGCCTGGTGTAAAAGGCCACTCCTGAGCCTCAAACTCCACTCACAGAAGCAGGATAGTGCAGAGCTTCTGCAGAGCCATCAGCGATCCAAATCCATGGCTTCCCCTCACCTTTCCATCAAGTCCCATCATACACAAGTCCTTTTCTAGTTCTTCATTATTTTAAACATTCCACTTCAGGTATACTTTTCTTTGCGGGGCAGGGGGAGATCTCTGATCTCTGAGATCTCTTGGCCTTCAGCCTCCAAATATCAACTGAAAATCGTGTACAGTCTGTGCTCAAGGACGTTCCTTCTGTGAAGCCTTAGCAAAGCTTCTTTTCTCAGGCACTCTTTGCACTGATTTCCCAGCATCCACAGATTCAGCAGAGCTTCCACACCGTCTAGCCAAAAAAACCACTTGCAACTGATGTTCAGGAATATTCCCATTGACATCTTGTTAAAAAAATTCTTCTCAGAATTATTTTCCATGATGAAAATATTTCTACCATATGTAAAGAAGTCCCAAAGCACTTCCTTTAGAGCCGCGGTGGTGCAGTGGTTAGAGTGCAGTACTGCAGGCAACTCTGCTGACTGCCAGCTGCCTGCAATTTGGCAGTTCAAATCTCCCCAGGCTCAAGGTTGACTCAACCTTCCATCCTTCCTTCCAAGGTGGGTAAAATGAGGACCCAAATTGTTGGGGGACAATATGCTGACTCTGTAAAACGCTTTGAGAGGGCTGTAAAGTACCCTGAAGCGGTATATAAGTCTAAGGGCTATTGCTATTACTATCACCTTAATTACAATGCCTCCCTCCCTGCCATTCCACTATTTTCAAGGTGGGGCCATTTTCAACTAATCTGTCTAATTTTAAAAGACCGTCCATCCCAATGGCACTAATGTTAAATGTTCCAGTGGGCAAATGGGACTGAAACACAGAAGAAAGTTTGGTAGCCTATCCGTCAAGGACTAAATAGCCAAGTGTTTTCAGCAGAACCAGAGATTCCATGCCCAAATGACCACATTTTGCCAGGTGGCAAGCTAGGTGTGGGGGGCCATAACGCACCGTCATTAGGTAATTCATGGAACATTTCCCTTTTCTGACAACAGTCTCCTCCCCCGAATCCTGCTCAATGAAGCTTTCATCTTGGCTTATCATATACTAGCTCTAATTGTTGTGTGACCCCATATACAAAACAAGGTCTACCCCTCCAGCAACTTCTCTCCAATCAAATGCTCTTCAAGGCCCCCTGATATTACTGCCTCACCAGCTGAGGGTAAGGCCTATGGCCATCTAACACACTTCGGGGTGTGAGACACAAACAGGCTAACATTTATTTTGCTTTAGCACTGGTGTATCTATTCTATTCTTAGTTAAATGTTTGAAGGAAGAAAGAAACAATGGGACCTCTGATTTGCCACTTGCTGCAGAACAATAGGGCCAGTGATGAGAGATGCTGGAGGATCTGGAGGAGGAGAAGCTCCCCATTTCTGACTCAGGACTCTTCTCAACTTAAGATGCCTTTAAAAAAACAACTGTCTCCTACACCATTACTAATAAGTGTGCAAAAAGCATGAACAATCAATAGAAGACACTGTTGCCATGCCTCAGGATGTACTTGCCCAACCCATGTGGTGCAAATAAAGCAGACCGAAGGAGCAAACCCTTTGGGTCTCAGGAAGAATGGCCATTTTCAGGAGGAAGGAGCAGCCGGGACTCCAAGCTTCAGGTGTTGGAAAGAGCTGTCCCAACAGAGCTCTGTTCTTCCACTGACTGCCATGGAACCTCACCTGTGCCAGGCCCATAAACTGACCTGGTCAATGTGTCTGAGATGGAAAAGCTTCCTGATTGCAGTAAATTCCCAATCAGCTCGGCCTTCTTTCTGTATTGAATTCCTTCTACAGCAGGGATGTCAAACTCATGAAGTGACTTTGTCATCACGTGACGTATCACAACTTGCTAAACTGGGGGTAGGCGTGGCCAGTGTGTGATGCATCCAGCCCACAGGCCACAAGTTTCACACCCCTGTTCTACAGGTACCCAAGATAAACTGCTCAAGGCAGCCAACTCACCTTGTAACAGTAAAACCCAACTAGTTTGTCCTCCCAGGGTGTTACTTGACGATTGTAAATGTAAAAGGCTCCTTCCAGCCTCAGAGACCTTCCATAAGCACCCAGTCTGACCTTCCAACAACATTCAAAGAGGCGAAATCATCTAGGGCAAAATGATGGATTGGGCCATCCAGAACTCGAAAGATAAAATGAGACCAACAAGAACACTAGTTCAAACAAAATGAACTCAACTCAACAGCTCACAGCCTTGAATAAACATGGTTTGGATTGGATTCAAACTTGCGCCACTTCTCACCCGCTTCCCCCCCCCCCCCCAAGAAAGGCACAAGGCATACGAACCAATGCAACACATCTGGCAGACCAGGTGGGCGTTCAGCTCCCTCTCTGTTCTGTGAACGTGCCACATGGTCCTCTGGGGTTCCAGCTGCATTAAGCCTTCCGGGTGTAACTGAGACCTTCCATCTTCCTGTTTCTCTTGCAAGACTTCTTTGGCGTGATCTGCCAGCCCCTTGCCACCCGCTTCCTCCCCACAGCTCCTCCCCCCACTTCCTACTTCCCCATCGGCCATGAAAGGGAGTGCATGGGCTGGTCTTTCCAGAAAGCAGGCTGCCTCTCTGGAGCTGCTCCTTCAGAGGTTGGGAGAAAAGTGCTCCTTCCTTTAACAGGCTGGGGTTTACTGGAGAATGCAAGGCAGCCAAGTCCCTCAGCTCTTTTGAGCTTGGCAGATTAAGGCACCACCAGCAGGATTAAATGCCAAGTACGGTCAATTCAGACGTGTCCAGGAGATTGGCCAACATCCTGCTTCCCTCCGCCATTAGGATAGCTTTGTTTAGCCAGGGAAGCCTTTGGAGGAGATACCCCTGCTCTTCCCAGCCCCCTTCCACACCCTGGCAGAGGCTCGCAAGAATAAAAATCTAGGGTAAAAGCATTCAGTCTGGAAGCCTTGGCTGAACTTTCTGGTTCAGGGGTGGGGGTGGGAGCGCAAAGAAATCCTGCTTTCCAGAGGGTGAGCGGTGGGACACAATCCAGGGTGCCCTGCCACACTCACAGCTGCTCAGGAGCCCGAGCAGGAGGGCGTTTGCCAGGGTTCCAGCTGCACCTTCTAAAGAATCCACCGGCTCCCAGAGTCCCCCGAGATGGGCGGCATCTTCATGGACGG